CGAATCTGATGTTACCACTTCGAAGGTCTATCTTCGAAAACACTTTAGAACCCTCCCACACATTTAGCATGTCTTCCAACCGTGGCATTGAAAATCTATATTTGATAGTAATTTTGTTGATCGCCCTACTATCAACACACATACGCCATGTTTTGTATTTCTTGGGCACCAGCAATACTGGGACTGCACAAAGACTCATGCTTTCATGGATAAACTCTTTTTTCAGTAACTCTTCTATCTTCTCTCGTAGAATGTCATTCTCCTTGGGACTCATGCGGTAATGTGGCAGATTGGGGAGACTTGCTCCATGCACCAAATTAATTTGATGTTAGATATCCCTCATGGGAGCTAGCTAGTTGGGTAGGTTGTCAGCAATTAACTCCTTGAACCCCTGCAAAATTTTCTACACTTCTTTTGGGATTTCAACTTTCTCAGGTACGACGGCTAACAACCCTTTCATCATCATGGGATAAAAAAATTCTGCATCTTTAACGGCTTCTAAACAGTCATGTTCATTGCTAGTTATGGTGAAGAAACTGGAATTCACGGCTGGTTTCTCAGATTTACCAGAGTCGTTCACGGGAGCCATAGCACTTTTATGAGATCCCCAATTGAAAACATACACATTATCACGTCCCTTATGAGTAGCATCTGTATCAAAATGCCAAGGTCTACCCAAAAAAATGTGACTAGCATCCATATCAATGATATCATAAAGAACCTCAGACTTGTAATGCTTATCAATGGACAACGATACCTTGCAAACTTCTGTCACCTGAACTGAAGGGCCTCTCTTCACCCATCTCAAGGAATAAGGTGATTCATGCTTCTCTATTGTCAACTTTAAATAATCCACAACTTTTTGGATATGCGATTCTCGCAGCTGCCACCATCAATAATTAAATTGCACACCTTGTGTTGTTGACGATACAAAAAGATTGAAAGATCTTATGCTGCTGCCCTTCCTCTTGTCTTGGTACGAGTAACACCCGCTGCAAGACTAGGTTAATTACTTCGTCGCCTTCCTCATAGGCGAAATCAGCTCCTTCATACTCTTCATCAGCACCATGATCCTCATTGTTATCCTCATTCGCTTCAGCCAAGTTAACTTGCCGATGATTGGGACAATCGTTGGATTTATGGCCCGGTTTGCCTCAACGATAACAGTGATCTTCATAAGGTTTTGCATAAGGATTCGATCTCTGGAAACGACCCTTATCCTCAGTGCAGCTACTGTCTTCTACTGCTCCCTTTGTACCCATTTGTTAGTATTATTATTCCCATGAACTTGTGCAACTTTTTTACCTTTGTTTTTTGCAGGGACAAGTGAATTGACAGATTTCGTCTAAAAATTGCCAGAACCCGATCATCTCTTATTCTCTATAAGTTCCACCTTGAGAGCCATGTTATTGGCCTCTTGCACGGTTTAGAAAGTCTGCAACCTAATACGATCTTGGATGGAAGGTTTAAGCCCATTCATATACCTTGCCACGTGTTAACTATCGGTTTCATATAAGCTATTACATTCTACGAGGTGCAAGAATTCAGATGTATACTCTACCACCATCCTATAACCTTGGATGCAATTCTGGTAAAGGCAATACAAATATTGCTCAAAGTCTACATGAAGGAATTTGTCCATCCTCAATTGCTTCATTTGTCGCCAAGTCCACACAGGATCTTTGCTTGCCTTTGGCGCGTCTTCTATAATTGATCCCATCATCATAATGCAGCACTTCCTTTGAGACGAAAAGTTGTTAGCTTCACCATCTTCGCCTCGAGGACTTCCATAAGTTCAAACATCCTCTCCACTTGAACAAGTCAATCCAAGAAATCTTTAACTTGTCAGTGCCCATTAAAATATGGAATTTCAGTCTTCATGTGATAGTCTTCTTGGCGTTGGTTATTGGGTTGGGCATGATCATCGTGAATTTCTTCCTCCGACTCCGCATCGCTATCTTCTTGACGAGGGCGCCATGGGGGACGTCGTTCCTTACGTCGGTCTTCTCCTCTGTCTTCATTTGGCCGTGCTTGGTTTCCCAAGGTCAAGATCATCTTACGTAGACCCTCGATTGTTGTATTGAATTCATCATGAGTGATTGGTTCCTCATCTCCATGGGTCATATCTTCTCCATTTGGACGAGCCATTAGAGGCACTTCAAGTCAGGCAAAAACTTGCTCTGATACCAACTAATGCAGCGAGATATAAGGGATAGGGAGATCGAACAATAACCCTACAAATAACAATGTCGGAATTCACCAACAAACTGGAATCCACTAGAGAAATTGAGTAAACCTCAAATATATTGATTGAAAAATAAGATGAATGATTCAGGATGCTCCAACACATTCCTTTTATACAAGAGAAATCCTAGACTTGCTTGGAAATCTAATTAGAAACCAAAAAGGAAAATAATAAAAGTTTCCCAAAATATTCTAAAAACTTTAAACGCTGAAAAGTCCAAGTAAACGATAGAATTTGGCTAAAATAGCTCATACATCACAATAAAGTAGTGAGTTGCATTTGTCACACCGTTCTATTTGAAATGATAGGTCATGGGCCCAATTATGAGCTCGGAGCCCATACTTGCACAGATAGGGCTTTGTTGGCGGGACGACGTGCGCGTCTGTCTAGCTGTTTCTCAATCAACTCGGCCATATGTTCTACATCAGGGATTTGGAGAGTTGTTTGTCTGTCACGATTGTTGTCTCCCCACTCGAATTAGAGCATCTCCAACCGATATGTCAAAAGTGCCAAATAGACATTTAACAACTAGAAATAACATCTCCCACACTCCAACCGATGTGTTAAAGCTGATGTGGAATGAAGGCTGAAGATTGAGATGTTATTTTTGACATCCCAAAAGCAAGATGTCAAATGAATATTTTATTATTTTTGCTTTTCTATTCTTTATTTTTAATTAAAAATAAATCAACACTAAAATGTAATAAAATAATAATTTAATTTGACATATCAGGTGGAGTGTAAAGCTGTGTAAGATGTCAAATTGCCACATCAGCCATCAAATTTAAATTTGATGTTTGGTATTTGACATCTCCCTTGGAGATGCTCTTATATTATCTCAGCCTTCAAATATATCATATTACCCAGGATGCGATGATTTCATCAGCTCACTCTCTCTTCTATATAAGTGTAAGGACCTAAGTAGTTTTTTCAACATCAATTTGCAGTCTAGCACTAAGTACACTCCATCCTCCTATCCTATTATTTACGTTTACTTCTTTTTGTGAAAATGTCTAGCAATCATGGTAAGGTAGAGACTGATGTTGAAATCAAGGCTCCCGCTACCAAGTTCCATGAAGTGTTAGCACACAGACCACACCACATATCCAATGTCAGCTCTAACAACATTCAGGGTTGTGATTTACATGAAGGTGAATGGGGCACCGTCGGCTCTGTGGTCTACTGGAATTATTTCCATGGTAAGTAAGCCTCCCTATAGCTTCAATTAACATCAATTAGATTATATATTATGTTCATGTCGTTTGATGTTAATTTCTTTCTTCAACTATTATTAATTGTTATGCAGATGGGAAAGCTAAAGTTTCCAAGCAGTTGATTGAAGCGCTAGACGCTGAAAAGAATCTGATCACTTTCAAAGTGATCGAAGGAGATCTGCTGGAGCATTACAAGAGCTTCAAGATCACCATTCACGCCACTCCAAAAGCTCATGGTCAGGGCAGCATCGTCCATTGCACTATGGAGTATGAGAAGCATCATGGTGATATTGAGGACCCGCATACCTTGCTCCAGTTTGCAGTGGATGTGTCCAAAGATATCGATGCTCATCTTACAAGTGCCCAGGCATAATTAATTATAATCGAAGGCCTGATTGAGGCGGGCTTATAGAATCATCTGTGATTCTGTGTGCTGCGTATATATCTACTATCCATTTGCTTTCTTGCTTGCAGAAATAAACGCCTTCAATCAATGTTTGTATCTTAAGTCTGTGTGGGCACTGGGCTACCCGAAACTTTCATTTACTTGTGTTTGCCGTCCTTATCTTATATGATATGGGCTATGTATCTTTTATTAATTCCAAGTTGGGGCTTTACCCATATAAAGCCATATTTCTACTTACTCTTGAAATGTGTTTCTACATCTCTAATGTCCTCAATTGATCTAGCCACTCAAGTTCAAATTTTTCTTCTCTTGTTAATTTAAAAATAAATATATGTAACATCTCTCATCCACTCATCATGGGGCAAGACATAAGTTGTGCGATTTTATGTAAGATATCTATCTAATATGAGAGAATGGGAACCCACACCTCCCACAAACCAAATGAAAAATAGAGTTAGGTTATGGAGACAAGATAAGAAAGATCTTATAAATATATGAGTAAGTTATCAAGACAGAATTATGTATTAATCTTCATAGTCCCTCATAAATTGTCATCCAATACTTGATCACTATGAGCTTAGCCAAGTTGGTTAGAACGGATGTGTTGATTCCCACTTTGCACTCGAGTTCGATCGCCCTCCCCGTAATCTAGATTAGATTAAAGTAGAATATCGTTTGTATTTAAAAAATATATATATTTTTTTTCCATTTTTGCAAATTTAGAGAGTACACACCAAGAATTCTATAGTGAGGGCCTTATATATAGCCCTTAGATGAGGCTCTATCTCTTAACCATTGAATCAAATTAGTTAGCATGATCCAACTGTGAAGAGATATGACATCACCTAATGGCCATATATAAGACTCTTACTATAGAATGACTCGAGTACACACATACACACAGTAATGGACTAGACCAACGATTTTTGAGCGAGCAAAAAATTTTGAAGCCCACTTTTTAGATGGACAATAAAATTAAGATGTCAAATTGCCACATCAGCCATCAAATTTAAATTTGATGTTTGGTATTTGACATCTCCCTTGGAGATGCTCTTATATTATCTCAGCCTTCAAATATATCATATTACCCAGGATGCGATGATTTCATCAGCTCACTCTCTCTTCTATATAAGTGTAAGGACCTAAGTAGTTTTTTCAACATCAATTTGCAGTCTAGCACTAAGTACACTCCATCCTCCTATCCTATTATTTACGTTTACTTCTTTTTGTGAAAATGTCTAGCAATCATGGTAAGGTAGAGACTGATGTTGAAATCAAGGCTCCCGCTACCAAGTTCCATGAAGTGTTAGCACACAGACCACACCACATATCCAATGTCAGCCCTAACAACATTCAGGGTTGTGATTTACATGAAGGTGAATGGGGCACCGTCGGCTCTGTGGTCTACTGGAATTATTTCCATGGTAAGTAAGCCTCCCTATAGCTTCAATTAACATCAATTAGATTATATATTATGTTCATGTCGTTTGATGTTAATTTCTTTCTTCAACTATTATTAATTGTTATGCAGATGGGAAAGCTAAAGTTTCCAAGCAGTTGATTGAAGCGCTCCGTTGAAACACTTTATGGTCAGGGGCAAGCCGAACCCCGAGCGAGGATTAATCTCACCCTTCAGATGTGGCTTGTTGTAACTAAATATTCATAGGTTCCAATTTGATCCCTTTTGTATTCTGTTTCAGTCTCTTTCTTATGTAATTGTTTATTAAAAATCACCTTTCATAGCAAATAAAAGAAGAAAAATATATGGGAAGGGGTGTATGTTTGGTGTGGTCACAACGCAGAAAATTCCTAGAGGCCGGCATACAAGCAGAGGCAAGACAAGAGGCATGGAAACTACCTTTCTTTCACAAAATACAAAACCCAATTAATCCAATCTCTTATTATGTTCAAGTAGCAGAGAGGGTATGATGAGGATGAAGTTCATGATGTTGGGGGGGTGCAGTGCAGACAGCAACGTGCAGCTTACTTGGCTTAGCTTCTTGTTATAGTCAGCCTCAGAAAACACGCACGCACATAAATTAGCGGACAGTTTCCTTTTGCCTTTTGCTGTTTCACTTTCTTTCTCGTTTCTTCTGCTGCCATGTCATTATTATTGAATCGATGGTGTCGGGGATGGAGCAACTGGGGTTGATTGATTGGAAGTAGCATTGGTGGTGGATACGACGTCGCCTGAGACCAGTTTAACGACTCTTTTATAAGCACGACGATGACGACGGAAGAGATGATGATGATGACAAGTTCAAGCAACTTGTTTGAGAACAGCAGCAGTTATAGCATGCCCCTGCCCTTGTCATCCATCGAAGAAGAAGAAGAAGAGTCTACAATCTCTGTCTCTGATGATGATGATGATGATGCAGAAAGTCTTTTCTCCATTGATTTTAATTTGAGTCATAATAATATGCATAATAGTTATAAGGAGGAGGAGGATGATGATAGGGAAGTTTGTTATTATTATTATTATTATGTAGCAGTTGGGAGGAAGAGCGAGTCTAGCATGGATGCCCTTCTCTGGACGGTTAACCACGCAGCTACTCATCAATCATCTTCCACTTCACTAGTCAATGTAGTCATCGTCCACGTCTTTCCACCTCTTCAATTCATTCCTTCTCCATGTAAGCTCCTTCAATTTATTCATATTCTCTCTCTCTCTCTCTCTGTGTCTTAAACTCTCTGCTTTTGCTGGTCTAGCCGAGTGAAGTCAAATGAGGAAGCGTGTCATACAATGAACCTGCACTCACTGTATGGTCTAGGTCATACATGTCACCTTCAATCCCATATATTCATTAGTTTACTGTAAAATTTCCATTTTTTCCTTTTGTTTTTAATTAGTTCCGTAGAAATTTCAAAGCTGAAAATGATACCAGGTTTGACATATATAGATAATATCTTACAGTACCCTTGTTTTATAATTAAAGTCTAGCTGTATGCTTATATCCCAGCTTGGGATATGCAAATGGATATATATTATATATAATAAGCCAGAACTTATAGATACCTAGATTAAGTACTGGTCTCAAACGTTATAACAAGCTAACATCATTATTTGTGTAATACAGTAGGAATGCTTCCAAAAAGTAAAGTGAGCCCAAAGATAGTGGACAAGTACATGGTCCAAGAAAGAGACAGAAGGAGAAAACTCCTTCAGAAATACGTTGATGCCTGTTCAGCTGCCAAGGTACACCAGATTTCAAAGTTTCAGGCCCTCCATGCTGCTATTTACAAGTTGATTAACTTTTACAACAATGGAACAGGTCAAGGTGGATGTTATGCTTATTGAGAGTGATACGGTTTCCAAGGCTATCCTAGACCTAATTCCAACTCAAAACATCAAAACACTAGTTGTTGGAACCACCAATTCCAGTATGAGGTACAATCACTTCGCTTGTATATGCCACTACTAGAACTCTGTTTCAAGAAGTTTCACATTTCCAAGTTAAAAGCACAACTAATTTTGTTACGGTTTTGTGTAATTAAGGAAATTGAGGTCTAAGAAAGGAAGTGGGATTGCTAGTCAGATTCTACGAAATGCACCTGAAACAAGCTGCGAAATTCGGATCATATGCAAGGGTAAGGAAGTGATGGATCAGGATCACACGATTACCAGGTCGATTTCCTCACGTAGCAGCAATGCGAATTCCTTGTCCACGCAAGAGGAAGATGATAATCAAGAACTACCAATCTCACCAGATTATAATAAGCAAGGGCTGCATTACACGCGTCCAGCAGTGAAATCTCCATCAGCAATTCCGGACACTACTACTTCTGCTCCACTTGTGTCTTTAAATGGATACAAGGCAATGTGGAGGGGAAAACTAAAACCAAAAAAACAGCTTCATTTTGCTGTGTAATGTAACGTTTTTAAAATTTATAGATTGGCATGTAATATATATAATAGTGTATACTACACATTAAATCGACATGGCACACATATTTTTGTTCTTAGGTATAAAATGTATCCACGTCCACTCTACAACTATGTATACTGGCACTTAAATTATATGTTGGATACAGTATGATGCTTCTTCTAGTTTTATACCTACGCTATACTTCCACAGATTATAGCAGCTCAGCCTACAATTCCACTTTTGGCATACTTTTCGATCTGACTAATGTCGAGGCTTTTATCCATTCCATTTGCTATGATAAATCTGCACAGAACCAGCCAACTTGATCAATGAATCATTTAAGAACATTATTACTATTTACTTACTATGGTATGAATTTGGATACATGGGACTTACTTATCTAGAAGAACTCTTGTCATCGTTTGGCAGCAGCCAGGCACAGAGGATTGCATGTTTACTGCAATATTTGGGTTGTGAATGCTCTGCCGGATGTGTACCCAACCATGTTGTCCATGTTCCTCATCTGATACTTTTGCTCTGAGATGTTCAAGTTTTAATTATAATTAAGCTTAAGAAATATATATGATCCAAATTGCAATCCATCAATTGTCAAATTTAACTCTTGTTTTATATAGCACCTGTACATGCGAGCGTCAACGGCAGCAGCTGAGGTATCACTTGAGTCTACAAGGCAGCCTTCACTGACCCAACAATCTCCACATGAATCTAATTCCCACCCTTCAAGTCTCCCCTCCTACAAGTCAATGTATGTTTTGTTATAATCAACCAAAATCAGCACTACTAATTTATCTCCAGTAGAAGCGGCTTGTACATGCAAGTACCTCAACGTACTCTCGGAACGTTTCAATGGCCTCAATCGCTTTTTCTTTTGCATATCTTGGCTCAGAGACCACGTTTATCCTTAGCTCTATAGACTCTGCTGGTTCTTCAAGGTCTTTGATGATATCACCAACCCCTTCATCCGATCCTGCAAGCTTCATGCGCACCATCTCAATGATGATCTTTACCACCATGTAAGCCCCTGTAAAATGAAATAACCATTTATGCACGCACATAATTGTAATTCTAATTGAACAAAGCAAAAACATAACATGCAGAAACCATAATGCTAACCATCATCTAGGAAATGGTTCTCTTTAAGAGCACCATGTCCAGATGTTTCCATCATGAGATGAGTTTCAATGCCCTCCTTGTTAAGCTGGACTCCCTTATCAATGACATTTCGGTAACCAACCCGATATAAGCAATGGTGCCCCCCTCTATTGGTGATGAACCTTGTAAGTGCCATACTTGTACGAGCATCGGTCACTATGGTTGTTCCGGGGTGTTCCCTTAATACAATAGCAGAAATTAGAGCAATGAGCTTGTCACCATTAATGGGGTTGCCCTTGTTATCTACAACACCACTGCGGTCCACATCAGTGTCAAACACAATACCAAGATCAGCAGAGTTTTCTAGCACTGCAGCTCTGGTTACTGCCATGGCAGTTTTGTCCTCTGGATTGGGAATGTGGTTGGGAAACATCCCATCTGGTTTAAGGTGTAGAGAGCCAAAGGTGTCTGCCCCAAGCTTGTCTAAGACATCCCATGTGAAGAAACCTCCTGATCCATTACCTGCATTCACTATTATCTGCATTAAGGAGCAATTAGTGATATGTCAAAGGCATATTGTTCTGAATTTGAATAAAGGCCTTTAAGTATATGACATTTTGAAGGACTAAGAAGGCTAATTAAGTTTGGAAACCTGAAATCCTTGGAGTGGAGTTTCATAATGCAGTGGATGGTTAACTCTCTCCTTGATAATGTCTCGGAGGTGCTTTGCATAAGTGCTCATGAAATCAACTCTTGATAGAGGAATATTAAGCAATATTGAAACTTTGGTGAGCCTATTGGCATACTTCCGGGCAGCTTTGTCGCATATGTCTTCCACATCCGGGGAGCTTAGTCCTCCTTTCTTGGTGAAAAATTTGAGACCATTTCGGGTGTAGGGCAAGTGAGATGCGGTCATCTGTATAGCAACATTCAAACTATCAAATGATGAACTCAGTTTATAACATCTAATGTTAGATGCCCTTCATAATCTTCTGGAAATTGACTTAATAAAAGTGTGATTTCAAGTACATATGTGATATTAAGGCCAATATAGATGTTGCTCTGTATATGCTACCATGATTGAAGCGTCATAGGCGAATGGAGGCAAAATTGTACTCATGAAGCAGGCAGGCGTAGTTGCAAGTCCCATATCAAAGACCAAACAACCTGCACGAGCCAGGCCTGAAAATACAGCTACACTCAAAGATGCTCCTGATATTCTTGGGTCTCTGCCAAGGGACACTCCAACATTCTCCACAGGATGTCCTCGCTCCTTCTCCAAGCCATTGATGACCCATTCGCCAAAACTCTCTGCAATGGCCTCCACAGCCGGCGGGGTTAGGTCCACTGCCCGTCCCTTCTCGCCTTCCAAGGCCACCCCACGAACATCAGACCCGTTCTGGAGCCTTCGAATTCTATCCATCTCTTCATCCACCACAACTTCATTGTAGTACTTGGCAGTGCTAGAAGACTTCACACATACAAATTTAGTACTTAGTGGCAATGAACATGGAAAACTAAGGTTTGTGTGGGATAGTTTGGGTGCTGACTTTGAAGGGAGGCATGGCTTTTGAGCATTGGTTTGCAAAGATATTGAAGAAGTTGAAGTGGAAGCCATTAATTAATTCTGGTTCTGTTCAATTTGGCGCCCTTTAGCTGTTTTTCAAAAGCTTTTGAAGGGGGGATTTTTAGACCAAACAAACAAGTTTGGAGGATAAGATATCTCAGTTAACTATAACCCTTCATTTCAATATCTATACAACACTGGAAGAAATATCTTTGAACAAAATGCCAAGTGCCCAGATTTTTTTTCTTGTTTTATGTCAGGCAAAGTTTCTTCTATTGTCTTAATGTGCTATGTGATAATCTCCAAGTCCATGAGAAGGAATGGCATATTCTTGCATACCATTGGATGCTTTCACGTTTAAAACATTCCCCAAGCGAGAACGAAAGAGTTAACGCGTTACTTTAACATGTTGTGAAATTATTTGCAATTTATAAGCCATTTTTAAGTAATTTCAAAGATCATTTCATTTTACACTGTCCTCATCTCACCTAGCGTCCCTCCCAGCCCCCCTTCCCCTTGCCTTCTCTTCATCTTCTCTTCATCCAGCAACTCACTCACTTTTTCATTTGTTCTTTCACCAGTCCTCTTTCCCTCTACATTCATCTACTATCTGCCTTCATGCCTACAACCACTGAAAGAGCCCTCACAGTAGATTTAATAACAATATCCAACCAACACATTAAAGTAGTGTGTGTGTGTGTGTGTGTGTGTGTGTCTGTGCTTTTTTCTTTTTTTTTGTGATCAAGAAATAATACTCTCATCCCAACAGAGAAGTAGTGTGTTTATATATATAATATCAAGGGACAAAACAAAAGTTAAAAGTAGTTATATGATTCATACTTTGAGATGAAGAAGATACAATAAAGTAGTCATTCCAAGCAGAAGACATGATGTTTGCTTGAAACAGATTATATACATTAAGGGACAAAACAAAAGTTACAGAGCAGAACAGAGCAAAAAGAAATTTGGGTTGTGCCTAGGCACCTGCTAAACCCTTAGAACCAGGAAGGTGGATCCACTCAATTTGAAGCACAATTTCGCCGCACTCGACGTTTCTCAGTTTGAGAATCATGTCCTGAACAATTTTGCCATTTTCCCAAACGCAGCAGCTCTCAGAGGACAGGCAGTTGGTCCTGTTGGGCTGAACTTTCTTGACGGCGCAGCCCTTCGGGAGGACGTCCAATCCCATCTTGAGGCACTCAACGTAGGGTTTGATGTCTATGTCTGCATCTCCCATCTTGTCGTCCACAGTTAACGTGTCCTTGTCGTACACTTCTAGATGGATGTTTTCTTCCAAATTTGTAATGGAAAGCGTCAGCTCCTCGTTCCACTGAGGGTTGCAATTCTTCTTTATCACTTTTGTCTTCAGTTTCTGGGAGGAACCCATGGTGACCACCACGTAAGGATCACTGGTCTTGGTATCACGAACAGCAAGGTTGATGCCTCGCTTGATCCGAAGCCTCAGAAGTCCCAGGATATTGTTCATCTTTATTTGCTTGCTTGCAAAATCCTAAAAATTAGCTTAGTTTCTTTCTGGTTTTCCAGTTTCTTTTGTTGTTTGTGGTTGTGAATGAGATATGATACGAGGCCTGGCGTTGATGGAAATGTGTGCTCAGGAACTCAGGTATATAAAATGCCAACACAGTCACTGTGCAGCGCTTGAAAGTCGTGGCAAATGTCAATACGGCAACCATTCATGGACAGACCACTCACTCATAACAACCGATCACTTTTTGTGTTTGCCAATTGGAAATTTGGAAGTGGTCCACCGACCTTACCGCTTTACCAACCCTATTATTATGAGTCACTCCTTTTCAATAGACTCCAAGGCTTATTGGGTTACAGGGTTATTGGGTTATGGACATTATGGGTTATGGGTAGGGCTTATCATTTGAGTTATGTGTTTTGGGTAGGGCTTATCAAATTTGTTGGGGTACATTTTGGTCTGGGTTGGACTATCAAATTTTGTGTTTGGGTACCACCCAATGCGTACGTCCAGTTCATGAATTGTTTGTGTACACAAGAGTCATTCTATAATGAGGATCTTATATATGGCTCTTAAGTAAGGTCCTATCTCTTAATCATTGGATCATTTTAACGAATTTGATTCAACGGCTAACTAATTTGATCCAACGATTTAGAGAAGTGTTGGAATGGGCTTTGCTTAATAAGGTAGAAAATGTAGAACATGAAAGCTGGCTTTTTTTTATGAGATTCATTCAGAGGAGCGTGACATGGAAATTGCTTTCAATGTATGGTAAAATGGGAGAGGGAGCACTTATATTATATATAATTTTTGTATAGTAATTTGTATACACATCCACAATGCCTTTACTACCATAGGCATATCCTATGAGAAGACTTGTGATTTGGCTGTCTTACCTTTGTTAAGACTTGTGATTTGGCTGTCTTACCTTTGTTCAGCAATATCATTCACCTTTGTTTCTGGGGGGCCAATATCCTCATACCATATGCTTGAGACTAATTATATGGTTTCATATATTTTAATTTAGGATTGCTTTTTCCTGAATCCACGCATCCAAATTCCAATCCAAATGCACGAAATGCCAAATATTATACACACAATTTGTTTGCTAAGCTTGCTTGCTTTTTGTATTCACTTGTACGAAGAGAAGGGAAGGGACCCAAAGTTATCATTTTTAATGGACCCTTTTGAGCTTTATGTCCTTTCATACATCTCACTCATAGCTGGAAAAGGTTCAAAGGGAATTTGCAAAGGATCATCTCTCTCTCTCTCACTCTCACTTTATATATATATATATATATATCAATATCAGGTTACACATGCCCTGCTTATGTATGAGTATATTGTCCATGAACCATGAACCATGAACCATGAACCATGAATGTGCGTGATCTCATGGTACATGTGGTTGACATCCTGGTACAGCAGCACCAGCATATCCAGTGGTATATGATTCTTCATCACATAGCGTTCGGCGGGTTTCGTTTTTTCCTCCCAAGCCTACCAACAACTAATTAAATAATTCATTGATATATTATTATATTATATGAGAAAATTTAAGCCTCTACTTTTTGGCTGATATGATATGACTGGATTTGGATGTGTCATGCACTCCAAGAAAATTGTGATATTATTTATAAATAAACAAATACCACTTGATTATCTTCTTAAGTCTTGATTAATTTCATTGCTCTAAATCCTATTATTCTTTCTTTTGTCAAAGGTTCACACCTAATTACCAAAACAAATTAGTGTTAAAACTTAATTAAATCAGCCTCTCTCTCTTGACCACCAAGACAAGGTTGGTGGGTTTGGGAACGTCAACTTGTATCCCGCACATTCAGAGAATATATCATTCTTGACCAGGAAAAGCAACTTTAATCATATTTTCTATTTACCTCTCTTTCTACGGGAGGGAGTATTATAATGTCATTCTTACGTTAACATAATAAAGACAAACATATGTTCAAAGACCCTAATTCTCTAGTTATGGGTAGTTAAACTAACGGATTTAGTCCCTCTTATTATATTAACACTCTGTCATTTTTATTATAAAGTCATTTTTTGTTAATTTAGAGCTTTACATATCTTTTTTTTTCTTTTAACAAAATAATATTCGAACTACTCTAATGAATCAAAAGGAAAGGAAATGGAGCTCAAGTGCAATGGCGGACACACTGTCTTGCCCAACTGCTCTAATCTAACCTTCATATATAATTTTATTTTAAATAAAATGGAAAACCCTTGTAGTTTCAGTGACCATTTAAAGACAATAACAAACAAACCCACGCTATGAAGATCAAAGAAGAATGCATTAATTTTAGGATATTTAATTTTTAAAAAGAATGAATATGTCTAGAAAACCCTAAAGATAAGGAATTTGGTGCCTCCACAAATAAAATGGAGTGTAAAACCAGTTGGATGCTAAAACTTCCTCTCCAAGTAAGAGCGTAACTAGTCAAAACAAGTGAGAAAAAATAAGAAGAAAAATAACTGAAATTAAAATAGGATTAACTACACTTTAGTCCCTAGAGGTTTAGTGTCAGTATCGAAATGGGCCCCAAAGTTTCAATTCAATCAATTTCATACCCGACATTTCCAAGTATTACCAATTTACACCCACTGTTACATTGAC